TTCATGCAAGGTACTTCGAAGTTATACCACACCTAATGTGGCAAAGACGGCTAAACTTACTCAACCATCAGGTATTGATGGCTTCATCCATGTCGCAGCACCTATTAGTGAGAGTTCAGATATCAAAGTTGCCATTCCCATCGCGGTAAAAGGCGCTCTCAATGCCCTCAAGGCTTCCACGAAAACTCCTTCGGTTGAACGCTTCGTCTTTACCTCGTCATCGATCGCCGCGACCTTCCCTCAACCCGATGTTGAGTTCTCAATCGACGAGGGTACCTTCAACGAAGAGGCACTAAGACGTGTTAAAGAGACTGGGAATGGATCAGGATTGCTGGGCTATGCAGCCATGAAGACAGAGACGGAAATGGCAATAGTCAAGTGGATGGAGGAGAACAAACCAAGCTTTATCTTGAACTCTATTGCAAGTCCCGATCTCATAAATCATTTTATATACAATACTGACTGTAACAGCTACCAAATGTGAACTTCGGCCCCATTCTCATCCCTGAACGCCAAGGCAAACCATCTACTATCGAGTGGGCCCACTTCGCTTGGACGAGTACGAACCTCGAAGCATTCAGCACGTTTGCCGGCCCACAATGGTATGTTCATACCGTTGACTGCGCGCTGCTGCATGTCGCTGCATTGATTTACAACGACGTACACTCCGAACGCATATTTGCCTTTGCAGAGCCATGGAGCTACAATAAGATGATGGATATTTGGCGCAAGCAGTATCCCAAGAAGGAGTTCCCGGAAAACATCAAGGGATTGGGCGAAGACAAGATGAAGGTCCCAAATCAGAGGGCAGAAGAGTTGCTCAAACGAGTCAAAGGATCCGGGTGGGATAGCTTGGAGAAGGCCGTGAAGGAAATGGCTGACCAGTGGGAATAAGAGTGCATTATGGTCTGTTGCAATATGTATATGTATGTTGGCCGAATATTTGCCATATGGTACCAAGGCGGTATGATTCAGGGTCCAAGACCACGGGCCGTTTACATCTAGTTATTTACACATCACTCCATCTTCGTCCCATGTAACATGATTTTCCCCTAGCTAGTATTCGAGTTTCGGGATTCCAACCATGCTTACATGAACCCTCCAACCCAGAACACAACTGCAACGCACAGCAATGATCAACCCCTCGATCGCAAATCCACTACTTACCCCGGAAATGATGATCCAGAATGTACGGGGAGCACAGATACCTAGAGGCTGGGGAAACAACGCCGCCAAGTACCTGTATGATTCGTGGAGAAAATCACCACCGGGTGTACTACTGCGTGGCATCGCCTTGGCAAATGCATCTCATGGCCTTAGGCGACACTGCTCTGCTCGGGTAAACCGCATGCCAAGTACCCTCACTAACACTACGCCAGCACCTTTTATTCACGGAAACAAAGAGACATGGGACCCAAGTTCTTCCGGTTGGCCTGAGGAGCGCAGTTTGTGGCGCTCTGGGGAGCAAGTTGTGGGGGAAGCTAGAGCCTGCTTGCGCCTACATAGTATACCTAAAAGGGTTTGGGATGACGTTGGAATACGGGGTTGCGTGTGGAGAGGCGGGTGTGATGGTGATGATCGAGGGACTACTTGCTGGGCATATTGGCGTGGCTGATCAAGTATAAAGGGTTGATTGTGCTGTGTCAATTGTGAAATACATTTTTTTCTCGCACTGCTGAAACTCTACTTGAAGCCAAGACAGCGGTCTCAAAAAGTCTGGTTGATATTCCACTTCAGATATAGTCTTTCCAAGATGAAGTTCTCTACCTCGGTCATTCTCCCCCTTCTACCTGCACTCTCCACAGCAGCAGTGATACCGCGCCAGAATGGCGATGGACCACAGGGTAGCACAGACTCGACACAGGGTGATCTTGGAGCACGACCTCCCCCCAGATTCCCTTTTCCGGTCACAAAGTTCCCCGTTCCGACTGAGACTGTTGTGCTTAAAGAGGCCATGTACATTGCTGCTGGCCAGGTCTTCGATGGACAAATGAAGCGATACGAGCGTGTTGAGGGTAGCTGCAGTGAGCAGGCTGAGGGAACCGACGCGGATGCTGTCTTCAACTTACTTCCTGGTGCTACAATCCGGAACGTGATTATTGGTAAACACCAGAGTGAAGGTATCCATGCTCTCGGAGATGCCTGGGTGGAGAATGGTAAGACATTCCATTCGATCAAGCATCAACCAACCACTGACTTGCTATACAATAGTGTGGTGGGAGGATGTATGTGAGGACGCACTTACGTCTAAGGGCCTAAACACCCAACTCCGCGTCATCGGCGGAGGCGCACGCAACGCCACCGACAAGATCTTCCAGGACAACTCGCTAGGAGGCAAAGTCAACATCACAGGCTTCTACGCCGAAAACTTTGGTACTTTCTATCAATCCTGCGGAAACTGCCTCAACCAGGCGAAGCGCAACGTCACCATCCAAAACGTCATTGCCGTAAAAGGCACAAGAATGGGTATAGTAAGTTCAAACAACCTAACTCCTCATTTATCGATAATTCCAACTCACAATGACGTAGATCAACCCCAACTACGGTGACGAATACCGCATCAAAGATTCCCAAGTCACAGATGTCGACCGGTACGTCGACAAGGAGATTGGCAACAATGTCCAAACAGTTCCTTATACGGTTGGAACTGGGCCCGATGAGAAATATGCGCTGTATAATTTGACGCGCGACCATGTTACGGAGTTTGAGGGGGAGATTTTGAATCAGTATGTGCCGGAGGAGCCGTATGAGTGGCTTGGTACTTACTGGAAGGAGGGTACTGGTGCGGACTGAGAGTGGTACTGAGCTAATATTTAACGAGTTGTATGTAGTAAGAACTAATGAAATGAATATATGATTAAATAGGCATTGGCTTGCTAAGTGGACGACTTGAACAATATTATGCCGGCCTAGAATGGATTTGATTGTATGATGCAAACTCCGGAATCTTGACATATTTGAATAGTATCGATTTTGGATTTGCTAATGTAAATGTGGCAGCTAGCAATAAAGAATGTATTGAGTAAGTGTTGGCGTGTTCTTTCCCACCAGTCTTGGCATAGTTGTGAGGGTGCAGGAATCGATATCCGTAATGACAACCTCGAAACTGCTGATGAATTATACATAGAATAATGAATTGCGTGCCATTCTCTGTCCATCAGGAAAAAGTGCAAACCCATCATACGAGTGATTGGGTGTTGAGGTAAAGGTATTGAGGTCCTGCATCGAATAGTAGTCAAGTGGGCCGTGCGCCAACCCCGGTTGCTCTAGCCTTCGCTTAGATTTTGCCAGCCCACGATCGTTCAGTGCCTCTAGCCAGCGACAACTCCATCCCGACGCCCAACCCAGCTCTTCCGCACACCGACCGACCGACTCCCGTCAAAAACACACACAACCGCACATAATGGATTCAGCTAAGGCTCCCGTCAAGCTCGTCAAGGTCACCCGTGTCCTTGGCCGAACCGGTACGCGAAATTTGCCGAAATTTGCTGCACAAGAGGGCGCATGCGACATAACGCGCCGCAACAAACGTGCGAGAGATTAGAGAGAATTCAAGGCTGACGACGGTCTCTTACAGGTTCCCGTGGTGGTGTCACCCAGTGCCGTGTCGAGTTCATGGACGACCAGACCCGTTCTATCATCCGTAACGTCAAGGGCCCAGGTAAACCCTCTCCCTTCCTACCCGCTTTTTTTTCGCCGCCCTCCCTCTGGCAGTAGCTGACTCCAAAACCTTCAGTCCGTGAGAACGACATCCTCTGCCTGCTCGAGTCCGAACGTGAGGCTAGGCGTCTGCGATAAGCTGCATCAACTCTCGGGGAAAGAAAGAGAGGGAAAGCGGCATTTCATTCGGTTACCGGAGTTCTTTGCGAAAGCTATGGGCATCTATACGGACTTGACGAGGATGGACAAAATGATGGCGTAGTTGTTCTTGCAGCGGCTACGGAAGCATATGGCAGATATGTGGGAGATGCGATCACGACTGATATCAAAGAGTCTGGCCTTTTCCTGAATGAATCGAAAACTACCAACTCCTCAAGTGCCTTGGATAGGTCGTGACGCTTTGTGGCTGTCTCTGATTTTAATATCAGAGTTCAAGATATGCCGGGAATCTGATACTGTTTAGACGATGCCATCATCATGTTCAGGGTCTATATGCTATACGCTGAGAGTGCTACTTGTCTAGCAGATTATATCCACTCGCACAACACTACTCCTTCGCTCGCAGCACGCCTTTCCCATTTTCCGTTTGCATACCCAACGTCCGACGAGATGCGTTTATACTCTGCTATTTTGATGTTCTGCGGAATCTGGGGTGCCACTAGATGTAATGATTCATGTATTACCACCATGCCTTGGCTTCTCTAACAGTCCGAAGTCTTGCTTCCTAATTGAGACTAAGTTCAACCTCTATGAAACTTTGACCTCACATCCATCCCCTTCATCTTTCATACTACCATTTTCTTCTATTTGCTCGTCACCACAAAGGATATACCATAAAATGGCGCGGGGCTATAAGATAGTAAAGAGGTTATGAGCATCCTTGTAGAATACTCAAGTCCGCAACGCGTTGGTATACTTGGCTCTTTAAACTTGTGCGCACCTATGTCAACCACAATCTCATTTAACTACAGTCTATTTTTGGGACCTAGTCCGAATAACAACGTTCTCTACGCCCTGAAAAGCTCTCCAAGACCAATTTTGATCGTAGTGTTTTCAAAACTCCAAGTCCATGTCCTACATAACTCTATGTCGTTTTTTCAAAATGTCTGGAGACAAACCACCATACCGCTAATCACGGAATACTATATGAGCTTGTCCAAGTTTTCCTCTACTTGAGTATCATAACAACCTGATTTACGGTAGTAAACATATCCGTCTGGAGGTTCACAGCGAGGTCTACATTGCACTTGTTTGTCATACAAACGAACAGTGAGTGAGTTGCTCAAACTACAAACAGACTCCAGGCTCTCATAAATACGAACAGATTTCACTTCGAGATTATGACGCCTAGTGCCCAGCTTCAAGTAACAACCACGTTTCAGTCTCAGTATCAGACACTGTTAGCACCTCCGCATCTTCCACGGCTTACCTTAAACCGCCTACTACCTTCCAAATCAATCCACAAGCGATTACTTTCTGGGTCATCCGCATCATTCTCCACTCGCCATCTCACAGCCACCAAACTGGCGACTCCACACAACCCGTCTCCATCCGCAGGCGGTTCAATATGGGACCCCTCTGACGAAGAATGGGCCGAAGTAGACGCCTACCGCATCACCAACACCTTCGTCGCGTCCTTCAAGAACCCCGGGCAACAAAACGGTGTATCGAGTCCACAAAAAGACTGCAGTGCCTTATCACGCCTCACCTCCACCATAACCTCCCTCATCCCCCTCTCCCCAACCAAAGTCCCCAATAAAGAAGAACCCGACCTCCGCGAAAAACTCTCCATACTCCAAAACGCCTACTACACCTCTCCCCCCGGCGACCTCTGCGACTCCATAATGCGTACCTGTTTCCTCCCGCACTCCCGCATCTTCCCCTCCTCCTCCTCTCCCTCACCCCGAACCATGCACGTCATCGACCTCTGCACCTACTTCACGACCCCCTCCCCCCTCCTCCGCACCGCGTACCCGCGCCTCAGCGACGCAACCGCCACAATCCTCAGCCACACAAACAACCCTTGCATAACCGCCTTTCTCAACCCTTCCGTGCAGGAATTCACATATAAGCGTGAAGTACAAGGCCGAAAAGGTGGGACTACTTTGTTAATCCGTCGATATGGCAATTGCGTAATCGTAAGTAACACTACACTATACTACTACTACTCCGCTTTTCCCGGCTTCCTGGTTGACTGACTGCGGGTGTGGGCAAGGGGGGGAGTAGGCAGGATCCTACCGTAACCTTGGCTTCTCGCTCCAATGGAGCTTGTACGTTCGAAGCAAGTTCAATGCGCTGGGGCAGTGGTACGAGGAGTTTGCCGCGCCGGCGTGCGGTGCTACGCCTGTGGTGCGGGGAGAGGTGATGTGGGATGTTTTCACGCCTGATGGTGAGATGTCAGGTGATGAGCAGCGGGAATGTAGTGTGGATGCTGGACTCCGCGGGATGAGGGGGTCGGGGGTGAAAAACGGAGATGGAGAAGGAGATGAAGAGGATGAGGGGGAAAGTGGGAGGGAGGCCAAGTTTGCGTTGTATCAGAGTAGGGTGCTTGCACGGTATTTACTATGGGATGTTTGGGTTAGGTTGGAAGGGCGGTACGAATGTAGGGCTACGTGGGAGGCTGATGGGGAAGTTAGCACTGTGAGGTTGAAGCGAGGGCTTGTTGGGTTTGATGACGATGAAGAGTGCTAAGTAAGTACGGCCAAAAGGTGAATATAGCATGGTCACGTCAAGTCAGAACAACAGGAGCAGATTCAAATGTACGAATAAAAGAAGCTTTTCTTAGAATTCATGAAATCTATATGAGAGCTAAGAAAAAAAAACAAAAAAAGAGCCCAGATGACCACTTTTCTCGTGTATTCAAGTAACAAGGAAAGAAATGTTTCGTTAATCTATAATGCAAGCGATGCGCGCTATGCAAAGGATATATCGAGCAACCAAGGAAAAAAGGAAAAGGAAAAGAAAAAACGCCGTGGAAATGCAACAAAAAGAAAAGGCCTTTTCGTCATATCAATGCTGAAAGCAAGATGAAGAAGAAGAAGGGAGCTCTAAGCAATAGCAGAGACACCACCCTCCTGCATAACAGGGTTGATCTTCTCATCAAATTTGAACTCGAAGTCCTCGCCGAGCTCCTTCTTCATGGCAGTCTGAACAGCCTCAAGGACATTGTTGAAGACACCGAAGGAAGCTGGGTTGTTCTCGTCGTTGTCGCCGCCCTGGAAGACACCAGTGCGGACCAAGCAAGTGTTCCAGCCGTACATGTTACCACCGATGATGTCGGAGGCTGGGTTGTCACCAATCATGTAGATGTGAGAAGGAAGCTTCTCCTCGTTGTGAATGGTCTCCATCCAGCTGGCAATGACCTCATCGGCGTACTTGTAGGTAGCCAACTCGGGCTTACCGTAGACGACACGCTCGAGCTCAACGCCGGTGAGCGACTTGTACATAGCCTCGAGACCAATGCGGAAGGCACCCTGGGACATGCGGGGGAAGGGGTGCTCGGTGGGGCAGAGCATGTCACCCTGGGAGAAGTAGATGGGGATGCGCTGGGAGACGGGGTCCTTGGCCCTGGTGCCGAGACGACCGTTCTCGGACTGGAGGAGGTCCATGATGATTTGGATATCGGTGGCGTAGTCACGGCTGTCAGAGAAGACCATGATAGCCTCGATGTTGGTCTTGCTGAAGTCGCGGGGGCGGGAGGTCTTGCGCTCCTCCTCGGTGAAGACACGGTAAGGGGCAATGGTGGGGTCCCAGGCAACGATGTCGTTGGGGACGACAATGTCTTCGAAGCCATACTGCTCAGCGACCTCACGGCACTTGTAGCCCTCACCACCGACAACAAGAACAGTCTTGTAGTACTCAGCCAAGGCACGCATGGGAGTGTGCGACTGGATGAACTGCTCGGTGGATATGGGGTTGTGGAGGATCTTGGAGAGTTGGTCGACACGAGCCTGCTCAGGCTTACCGGAACCGTTGGTGAGGAAGATGTGTGGGATCTTGATGCCGAGCTGGTTGTCTCCGTTCAAGATCTCGAGGACGCGCTGACCCTCGGGGATGAGACGGTCACCGTGGACGAGGACACCATCGATGTCGAAGACGAAAGCCATGTCCTTGGCAGCGTGGACCTTCTCGCCAGCCAAGTCCTGAAGCTGAGCAGCGATGATATCACGAGATGGCTGGATGGAGGGCATGCCAGGGCGCTTGGCAGCACCGTGGCCATCTGGGTAGTGTACAGAGGACAGCCTTGACTGCCTCTTTGAGCGGGGGATGGGCAGCGAGGTACCGAAGGAGTTTCGGGATCCTCTCCTCTCCTTCATGGAAGGCGAGAGTGAAAGGTTGTGCATGTAGTTGGTGGTGTCAGCAATGGCGCTGCGGGTAGCTGGGACCTCGATGGCGTTGGCAGTGCCATCATCGTGAGCATCTCCAGGGATGGGAAGCTCGCTGCTTCCAACAGCAAGGGAGCCAGAGCGAGCATTGTTGGTGTTGGACTTGGTCTGGGTGAGAGGAGTCTCAGCCAGCTCCTTGTCGTCAAAAGCTGAGGGAGACATATTGATAATGACGTAAAGGGGATATGTATATCAAGTTGAAAAGATAGTGGATGTAAACTTCACAGAAACTAGATGTGAAAGTGAGTGAAGTTGTGTGGAGAGATGTGATGGTGGATAGTTGACATCAGGGTCCTGGGGGAGGGGCTATATATCATCATCTCAGCTGTCTTGGTCGGCTGGGTGATGGTTGCCATATGCTCTCGTCATTTGCCAGTATCGAGTGGAAAGTTTCAAGACAGCTTTTCGCTATCCCGAGTTAGGCCGAGACAGCAAGCACCGAATGGCACTCAATGGATTCAACAAGTATCTCTGTACCCACAGTTCGACATCATCATGGCTCAGGCACGCCCGTGCAGAAGAGCGCTAGGGGACGAGTTTGCCAGACCAGAGAATGAGAACTGGATACCGTCACCGCCGGGATAAAGCCGAAAACTGGGGACTGATAGGGTTCGCGACATGTGAGTCGCCACAACACCTGGAAGCATGGCTGTATACGTCTCGCCTATGCCGCGAAAGCTTAGCGCAGAGCCTCAAGCAAGCGGAAAGATGAGCGCGGCCGGAAGGATGTGATTGACGAGGAAATGGCTACCGCCGGTCAAAGCGGATTGGCGTGCATATGCTATCAGTCGACATGTGGGAATGTGAGTAGAGACGAGTGCAGCAGAACGAGGATGGTGCAGGGAGCATCATGTCGCAGTGACGAAGGTTGGGTGGGGCCAAAAGCGCGCCTCGCCGAATTAGGGCGGACGCAGCGAAGCGAGTGGCTGGAGAGCGCAGAGCCGCACCAGCCGAGGGCGTTGGAAGGGGGCTAGTAAGTTTCTGTACGGTGCTACGTAGAGAGAGGTACATACATCCATACCGGCTTGCATTGCATTGGCCCACGCCCATGGCCGTACTTGGTGCTGACTACGCAGTTTTTTTTCCTTACTATCGCCTTGGTCAAGGTCGGCAAAACTGCCACTCTCAGCCACGTCCCACGCACGCCCTGGCCGGCCCGTGCAGTGGACCCTGGAGATCCACATACGACGTCATCGCGGCCAGCAACTGACAACACCTCAGGGCCCCTGTGAAACTGTTGGATGGCACTATCATGACGAGTTTTCGCAATGGGACCGATGCTGCCACAATACCACCGCGATCGGCCACATCCGGGTTGTTGTACGGGCACGGTGCTGCCCTGTCGCCGGTCTTGGGGGTTTGCTGACTGCTCGAGGCGTGGCACACATGGAGCCATGATGACAGCAGCACCAGCCAAGGGTGACGAGAGGGGGAAAGTTAGAAATTTCAACAAGCCCGACACATGCGCTGGCTGGACAGACATATGTAGCCTTGCAGCCCTGCCACGCGCTGTTGCTGTCGTTTAGAAGAAATCCCAATCTCAATTCTATCCATACCCTTTTGTTTTCCCCTTTGCCTCCTGTGCAATTCCTAGAGACAAAACCTCCTCTCAATCTTGTTCACATTCATCTCCGCATACCGCAGCCATGGCTCCCCTTGCCAACCAAAAGACCTACAAGCTCTACAACGGCGTCACCATCCCCGCCGTGGGCTTCGGCACCTTCGCCAGTGAGGGCGCATCCGGCGAGACGTACGCCGCCGTAACCACCGCACTCAAGACGGGCTACCGCCACCTCGACTGCGCCTGGTTCTACCAGAACGAGGAGGAGGTCGGCGCCGCCGTGCGCGATTTCCTCAAGGAGAACCCCAGCGTCACCCGCAAAGATCTCTTCATCTGCACAAAAGTCTGGAACCACCTCCACGAGCCCGATCAAGTCAAATGGAGCTTCAACAGCAGCTTGACCAAGCTGGGCATGGACTACATTGACGCCTTCCTCGTCCACTGGCCCATTGCCGCCGAGAGCGACGACAACCACATGCCCAAGATCGGCGCCGACGGCAAGTACATCATCAAGAAGGACCTCACAGAGAACCCCGAGCCCACATGGCGCGCCATGGAGGAGATCTACGAGTCCGGCAAGGCCAAATCCATCGGCGTCTCCAACTGGACCATCGACGGCCTCAAGAAGCTCCTCAGCTTCGCAAAGGTCAAGCCCATGATGAACCAAATCGAAATCCACCCTTTCCTGCCCAACTCAGACCTCGTCAAGTTCTGCCAGGACAACGACATCCTCGTCTCGGCCTACTCACCCCTCGGCTCCCAGAACCAAGTCCCCAGCACGGGTGAGAAGGTGCGTACAAACGCCAAGCTCAACGAGGTTGCCCAGCGCAGCGGCTACGACCTAGCTCAGGTCCTGCTGGCCTGGGGTCTGCAGCGCGGCTACGTCGTCCTGCCCAAGAGCTCCACCCCCTCGCGCATCCAGAGCAACTGGAACATTCCCGAGCTCAGCAAAGAGGACTTTGACGCCGTCGAGGAGGTTGCAAGGGGCAGGCACACGCGCTTTGTTAATATGAAGGATACCTTTGGCTACGACGTCTGGCCTGAGGAGACCGATGGTGGAGAGCTCAAGAAGTAAAGAGAAGGGAAAGTGGGGTTAAAAAAAAACAGAGGTGTGTTACGAACAGAACCAAACATCATGATGACATATGAGGGGCTTTTCTTTTCCCTCTCTCTCTTCTTCAATTCTTGTTGTCTTTATTATTTAGCGATACCAAGAGGAAGAAAGAAAAAGACCAAGTCTATTGCAGACTAATGTAGAATAACCAGCTCATAGAGTAAATCGATATGAATTATATTTTTGTATTCATTGTACTGCTTCATTGCAATTGTTAATAAATCGCGCTTCCCTCTCCGCTATTCTACGTTGATCGTAATACAGTATGACGATGTGATGACCATGTTTTAACCTCAAGGCGGTCGCTTTCCCCGCACGGTCAAACTACGGTGCACTACCCTTTGGACCCGCATCGTCGGCGACCTGTCAATCTGACATTTGCCAAAACCCTAAGAACGCCTAAGAGCTGATCTTGGCCTGCAAAAGCCACAGCTATGAGTGATTTTTTATTCGTTTTCGCTTCCTTTCGTTCCAATGCCCCTTCAAGTAGGGATCAGCTGGTCGAGCAATTCCAAGTTCTGCTGCTCCCTGCGCACGCTCCACGACTCTGATGCTGGTTGCGCCAGGGTTGCTGGCCTTGGTAGCACAAGATCTGCAAAGTGCATCTTGGTGAATTCCATGACTACCTGTGCTTCTGAAAACTTCTCTTGTTCCAAAAGTTGTCTGGCAACACCCAGGCATAGCTGGACGAGGAAATTGCGTCGGCTTCGTGATGACTGTGCAAATGTGACGGCTCCAGTGGGGTCCTCGATGAATTTGAGTCCTGGCATTGGACTGCTTTCTGAAGGTCGATGGAGGGAGAGCATAGCCTCGACGGCTCGGCTCCAGCTTCCAAGCCAACGTTGCGATGATGATGAGAATGATTGATACAATTCCAGGTCGATGGACTGGTCCCGGCTGGAGATGATGCGGTTGACAAGACGACCCCCAGCGGTCCTCAACACACTGTGTGCTGACTCGTAGCCCGCATTCTCCGTGAAGCGGAAAGCTTGCATAAACGTAGCCAGGGCGCTGTTCAAGCTTGTGTTTGCCTCAATGGATACCATCTTCTCCAGAAGCTGTTGTCTGAACTTGGTCACTCTTGAGACGTCCAGGCCGGTTTCTTTGACACGCTGCTCATTCGATCGGATGAACCAGCGCCACGGTGCAGAAGTTTCGCCCTCGACCAACTGTAAAGCCACCAGCCTGTCGAGGAACCTACTGCCATTGCCCGACTTTGATATACACATATCCAAGAACTCGCGCGATGTGTCCAAGCCACTGGTCCGCAGCCATTCTGAGAGCACATTTGCTGGTGTGACTCCATCCTTGAGCCCCGCTGGGCTTTCATTTGTCGTTTTCTCGAGCACTTCGAGGCAAATGGCCGCCTTTTGCAGAGTAGCAGAACCAGACGCTATCTCATTGACAAACCACCCAACAGGGTCTCTCAGGACATCGATGGCGGCAGACCCCGACCCTCTCCGGCGGGGCTTGACTGCAAACAGTGGGTTGTTTAGGATCGAGTCCAGATGCTGGGTGGTCGAGGCATAGGAAGAAGCGGCTGCATGGTGCGGGGATGGGGCACGTTGCCCACTACTAATTAGCAGTTGCCGGGAAGGCGCTCTCTGGGTGCTCTCCGAGGGGGGGAAGGGGTGTTCGCGGTCGAGGTGGGCGCGGAAGGACTGGGTAAGCAGAGACAGTAGCTGCTGACTCTCTCGCGGGGACAGCGGCAGCTGGGGGTGAATCTTGGAGGCAAGCGTGCTCAGGACGCGTTTGCCGGTGGCGGACTGCATGGCGGCGCAGTCAGTTGTCGTGAATCGTGCGTCGTGTTGCGGTGCGGCGATGACGAGAGGTGGGCCAGGCACAAGCGGCCATGGGACTGCGGCAAGCGGGCGCCCTGTATGGCACGTGACGGACTAGACGCGCGCGCAAGACGGCAGGCTGGAGTAATACGCCCCAGCTATTCGTAGATCAATCGCTTGTGAACACTCCCCTCACTTCTGCATACCACACAGCCCACTCAGACCCCAGCCAACGCGACACTGCCGCGTCCTGCGCCATTGGAACCTCCAGTGCCAAGACGACGTGGTCGCTTGCCCTTTAGCTTTCCCCAACTTTACCTCCTTCTACATCATCACCACGCACGTCCACCACACCCGCCCACACATTCACACAACCCAAAGTCGCCAGCGGCTTGTCCACACCCCACACAGATTCAATGTCTGAAGCACCATCTCGGCCTGCGCGAGGCAGGAGCTCTGCCCGCGGCGGCAGGGCATCATACGGCTCTCGAGGGCCCAGGAAAACAAACGGCGACAGCGCATCTTCAACCATTGACACATCAGCAGACCAAGGCGAGCTCGGAGAGCTTAAGAAGCGCTACAACTCACAGTTACCCACACTCAAGGAACTGTTTCCTGAATGGACCGACGCCGACCTAGTGCTCGCAATCGAAGAATCTGATGGCGACCTGCAAACCACCATTGAGAAGATTAGTGAGGGTGAGCG